CGGAAGTTGTGGATAAAGAAGAAGAAAATAGAAGGTTGTTAAGTATTATAGGCAATGGATAGCATATCAGCTTTGGAGTCACAGAGATCTGGGTTTAAATTCTGCATTCATCTAATATACACACACTTACAACCTGTGTGACTGGGGTATGAAGCAGAATTTTCAAAAAGTAACCCTAAATGCTCTTTCAATCACCTGAACAAAATAGCTAGAGTTGGAGCCCTCACTTTTCCCAAGGGTTAGGGTCACAGTGTTCTCAGAAGAGGGGCTACAACTTCGCCCTGGGTTCCAGGGTGCCCAGATGTGGAGCAGCTGGTTTTCTCACATTGCTGACGACTAAATGCAGATTGCCTGCCATCCGAAACAATATATCTGCACTATCTTAACAAGAGGCTCATACCCTGGCCTCAGTTAGGGCAATGTTCTTCCACTAGAACATAAGCCCACTCTGTATCCAGCACGGGGTTGCTCCTTACCCACTGCTCTGTGGGATGTTGAGCCTCCAGGAGCATGTTCTTCTCTTACTGACATCGGCCTGTAAGATTCTCCAATAAAGCCAATTCCTTGACCATGCGATTCTACAGAATTCTCCCTGAGCCCTGCTGCACAATAGCAACCTGAGACGGGTAACAACCATCCTTAGTTTTGATATCCTTACCTGTAAAATAGGAACTATGCCAACTACAGTAATGAGTTATTGTGATGACGGAACAAGATAATGTGTTTAAGATACTTAGCACAGGGTCTATTTTATATGGCTAATAGAAGAAAATTTACTTATGGGTAGAATGAAACTAAATAGCCTCAGTTTCCCAACTGAATGATAAGTCATGGTTCTGGCCTCAATAAAATCACTCTCAAGATAATGAAATAGAGAATGACAATAGAGTGTGTGGGGAGTGTGATTGGGGGTAGTGTGGCTGGAAAGGATATTTACAAAAAGGGAGGGACTGGCCAGAAGTAGATCTACCTCAGCAAATTTATCCCACTAACAATTGTAGATTGTATTTTCACTTGTAATAATAACTCAATACTTCTTTGTGTTTGTATATATACATACAATTTGTGTATATACCAAATATATGAGAAGTCTCTGAATTATCAGGAGTAAAACTCTTGCTATATGACTGAACTCTGAGAGGATATATGTATCTATCGCCATTGTTGGACTGATTGAATATCATTTGGGGGGGTCTGTTTTCCTCTGTTTAAGATGACAAGGACAGGGAACTGTGAGGTGGGAGGTTCTCTATAAAGTAGGTTATTATAAAGAAGCTGGCCAGAGGAAACAATAAAAGATAAGCTCTAATTGTGTAAATAAGGCAGTCAAAGCAAAGACAAATTCTTGTGTTGGAGCTGCTTCTGAATTTATTGCTACTGCTACTAGCGCTGGCCAGAAGGACCAAAACTTCAGTTATGGACAATATTGGAGAAATGAAATCCCACTTGGGCCCACTGAGATGCAGCCTGTGTACCTGTAGAGATGAGACTGGGAAGGGAGAAGGTGAGCATGGGAGCAGGAGAGTAAGAGTGGAGCTGATCAATTTCATTATGCGTCCTTGTTCAAGAAAAGAGCCAGCTGGATAGGAAGGGGCACCAATCCCCACAGGACTCTCCGGACAACTCAAGGAATTCTACTCTATCAGAATTTAATCCTGTAGACTACTCAGACCCTTGGGGCCTTTTAAATGCAAATGGAACCAAGAATGATGGAAATCTTACTATAAGTGAACTAACATTTGGATCTGAGGGTAAAGGAATGTAGGAAGCTTTTCTCCATGGCAGTTGTGGGGTAGGATGGAGAGAAGACAACAGCCCTGGTACTCTGAGGGAGGGAGAAACAGGCTGGGAGGAGATGGGGCCAGAAGTGAAAGGCGGGGATGGAAAAGACCATGTTGCCTAATCACAAGAGGACGTCAGGCTTTCCCTGGGAGGAGGGCCTTGACAGAGGAGTGGGAGGCCTAACCAACACTCTCTGTATCTTTAAAGTCAGAAGACACCCCTGAGAACCAGCATTTAAATTTTCACACTGCAATCTTTGAAGTTTTGCTATAATTGTATCAAACTCTGTAGTAATGACAGATAGACAGACTTGCTGTAGAGTAAGAGGTAAACAGAATGGTGAGGAAATGCCTCATCATTGAGTCCCAAAGGCCTCTAGTTTTCACCCACTAAGGATAGTGACTGCTAAGGCCACTGTCTATGTCCTTGCTGGCAACATTGGGTGACCTGTGTTAAAAAAAAAAAAAAAAAAGTGTTGGGAAGGGAGCTGTCTGTCTTCAGGACACAGTATAACTCTCCACTGGGAAGATGTGCTCAATATGCCATCCTGGGAAGGGTGAACTCTTCCAGCAGCACATAATGGGAAAATACTGTGGCCCTGAGCAATAAATTGAGAATATTTCAGAATCTCAAAAACTACTTCCATTGCTTCTCCTAACTGCAGAATATAGGAGTTTACACTGTCCTAACAACAACAACAACAACAGCTGCAATTTTTCTCTTCCCTACCATGGAAGAGTTCCTTACTAACTCTGAATTTAGTTAAGGTTACTTTAAATGCATTATTCTTTCAGGAGTTGATTCCTAACAAATGTCAAATCCCACAAAAGTAAAATAATCGCCTTCCAAATATCAACCTTGTAAAACAGACGCAAGATCAGAAAATCAGTAGGTCGTACTTTATGGGCAAATTCTTTTTGTAGCTAATGATTGGTTTATTTAACCACCCCTCATGAAATTATCACAAAGAATGGTGTTCCCCTCCCCTTGCTCCACTACCCAAGCCCTCAACAGGAAAGAGTTGGCTGGAGAAGTAAATAACTTAATAATTGCCTTAAACTTCACTAATGTTAATTAGATATGGCATCTCCCGTAAAGATCACAGTAGTCACTGACTGGAATAACAAGTGACAAGACAAGAAACCAAACTGTCAACATGGGTACAAAGAATCTGCTAATTTATTGAAGGTTGGTAAATAATAGGAAGTGTTATATTAACATTATTCCCTTGTGATCCATTTTCAACCGAATCCTTTTATTAGCAATGTTTATTTTCCTGATTTTGAAAATAATAAATGCCCCTTTTGGAAAATCAAGGCGATAGAGAAAGATACAAGAAAACAATAGTAATTAATAATAAAGCTACCAGCCATACACACTCATTTCAACAGACCAGCATTCTTCTTTCAGTCTTTTGGTATATGTATGTCTTATCCATCACACCATGTATAGGATTTGCATTTTATACTTAAAAGGATGTTCTCTTTTCATTAAACTACTGTAATATTAATGCCTATATTATATTCCATTTTACTGCCATTTGTGTATTTTTTCTAACAGTAAAAGCCTTAACAAAAACCTTCACACACAGATACTTTTTACTTCAGATTGTTAGCGTAAAACTCTTGGAAGAGGTATTTCTGAACCAAAGTGTAAGAAGAGAATAACTGGCAAGTTATTTTCCAGGAAGTTTTCTTTATTTTATAACCTATTTAATTCTTTGCCAGCCATATAGAAGAGCACTCTCATCTCTCTGCCCTCTCATCAACCCAAAATATTTCTACTGCATATATATTCTAATTCAATAGGTGAAAAATGATGCCTCAAGTTATGTTTAATCGATCACTTCTAAAGCTTAATTGTTTTCATAGTCAAGTGCAGTTTCTTGTGTGAATTGTTTGAATATGTTCTTTGTTAATTGATATTTTAGGATTTTGAGGGAGGTTGTTAGAAATTTGTATAACCATTATAAATATTCAATATATTAATGTTTTCTTTTATATTTGAAGCAAATCTTTCTCCCCACTATTTCTCCTTAACTTTGTTCATAGTGTTTAAGCTTTTTATTTAGTTAAATCTATTATTTCCCTATGTGATTTTTTTTCCCTCAGTTCCTTTAAGTTTAGAAAAATTCCTCCTCTTCTACAGATTAGATATGCATTATCTACATTTTTTAAATAATTTTTTTTCATTTTTTAAATAATTGATTTATGGTTGGCTACTACACATAAGACCCTGATCTGATCTCACTGTGATTATATTGGTGCACGGCTTGAGGTAAAAGTTAAACTTGTCTTTTTCAAATAGGAAAACACATTATTTTTTTTCCAGAAATTCAATTCTACTATATTCTAGGATCTACTTTTGCATAGGCCAGTCTAATCTTATTTTAAAGGTTGTCTACGGATTTAAAAAAAAATTGTACTTGCTTTTTGTTATTGTTAAAATTAAATGAAACTAAAACTTGTTAATAAAATTAGCTAACAAAATTTTCCACTGCTGACCAGATATTATAAAAAACATTGAACCTATCATGTTTAATGATGCATAGATTTTCCCAAGCTGGAGAGCTGTGAAATAGAGTGTAACCAACGATTTGAGTGTAACTGTGATTAAACTTTCCAATGTTGGAAGACACTTTTAATGGAAGCTATTATCTATATTTATAGCAGTTTCATTTTTTACTTTAGCTGTTTCTTACTCATTTTTTTCTCCTTTTTCTGCAATTGATTTGCAAAGTATTCCATTAATTGCCTCATAACTGTCATATCTATGGAAAATTCTTAGCATGCCTTAAAGTGATCAAGAAAGCTCTTGGGTGTTGAAATATACTATTTTATTTTTAGATCTTTGTGTCTCATCTGGATTCTGCTTAGGCAAACCTAGTTAGATTTAATGATGCTGTCACACATTTGCTGTTAAATTGTATTGATCTGGGTCAATCAGACCCTTGAGATATGTTTGCCCCTCTAGGTTCCTTGCCCGGACTAGATGTCCATGCAATTTCTGTCCAGCTCCTAAGCCAGAGGCATTTAAGCTGGCCAACAATGGTCTCTTGCTTTGATAAAGTCTTGTATCTGGAGGTCTAAGCTTAAGAATGAGAAACAGAATTTGTATGGTCCTGTCTGATGCTGAACTCTAGCTTTTGCCTGCATCCCTGGGCTTGCCTCATGGATCTCCTATGTAAAGTCATGATTTTTGTTTGTTTGTTGGCTTTGCAATGTCCGGCTACAAACCATTCTTAGTGCCCACTGTTCTGAGCACTGAGTGTAGAAATAGCAGTTCCCTCTCTGCGCCAGTGTCACAGGTGCAGCAGGGCAGCTGCACCCATGGCGCCGGCAGGTCCAGCATCTGCAGGGCAGCGTCCCCTCCCTCCCACCCAGAAAAAGTCATGATTTTTAAGGATCTCTGTTCCTACTAGGATTAGCCGGATGGGGTAACTTCTCCAGGAGCGGGTAGGGTAGGGTAGGGTAGGGAGGGATTGAGGTGTCTATATTCAAGAATAACAAATTCTAGGCCAATCATGAACTACCCCAATACAAGGTTAGTAATATATGAAAATGTTTTTAAAGGAAATGTTGTTTATGTTATAAATAAAATAAGAAAAGAAAAATGATCGCCAGACTGGTATCTTCTATAATTTGGGCAATACCCACTTTGTGCCAAGAACTGTATCATGCACTAGAGACAAAGGGTTAAAAGATATAGTCCCTGCCCCCAAGGAGCTCATGGCATGGCGAGCAGACTTACTAGTAAGTAGTATAAAAGCTATGAGAGGGAAGCACTAAATGATAGGGAGCAGACGGAATGGATGCCTAGCTCAGACTGTAAACAGCTGGAAGACTTCTTGGAGACGGTGACCTACGAACTGAATTTTAAAGGAAGAGAATTTCAGGCAGATGGAATAGCACACTAGAAGGCTCAAAGCTGTGAGGAAATAGCCCACTTACGGCCCTGCAAGTACTCCAGCAAAGGTCTTAATTGGTTAGTGGCAGAAGATGGAAATGAAGGGTTTAATAGAGCCAAATGATTAAGGTCCTTATATGTCTTGCTAAGGATTCTGGATTCTATCCTAGGCTGTGGAGAGGTACTGAAGGATTTTAAGTCATCAAGGGGAATGACCAGATTTGCATTTTAGAACGATTTCTCTGGCTGCAACCATATAACTGGGGAAGGATGGGGGGACATAACGATACAAAACGAATAGAGGACGATTATAGCAATTCAGGAAAGAAATTATGAGGGTCTTATCTTACTCTGAAGAAAGATATTAAAGAGCTAAGGAGGCAAAATATGATTGTTGATTACATGGTTAAGGAGATGGGGATAAGGGAAAGAGTGAAGGCAGGTCCAGGATGCCCTAGATTTCTGGCTTTGGCAACCAGGTAAAACGTGATGACATTCACAGAAACGGAGAGCAACGGTGTGAGAGGAGACTTGACTCAAGGTAGATACAACTATCCTGAGTTACCGACCAAATGTCCTGGTGGAAACACAGGGCCACGACTAGGGTGAGGTGAGTGAGGCACTCAATTGGATGCAAATATTAAGGGGCAAAAATACTCAGTAATCAGAATAAATACTACATTAATGAAAAAAAAAATTTAAACCAAAATTAAGGCAGAAATTCATGAACAAAATATCAAAATATTAAAGGCAGCATCAGTACCAGTGGCATGCCACCACATAGAGCCACCTTGGAGGAAAAGAAAAATCAGGAATACCTATCCTGGTACAGGATGCAGTGGCCACACCCGGAAGCCATGGCTCCTTGAAGGAAGCTGTGATTGAAAGAGATCAGATAGTCCTCAGCTGGGCAGGAAGTTTACAGAAGGTGTGTTTTGTGGGTTTCCCCCCAGCTTTATTGAGGTATAATTTAAAAATAAAATCGTAAGATATTTAAAGTGCACACTGTAGTAATCTGACATATGTATACATTGAAAAGAGTTCCTCCCACCTAGTTGTTTAACACAAGGGAGGTGTCCTTATTTCTTTTTAGTCTTCTTTTATGAGAGAAGAAACTTGAACATATCTGCTTTCTGAGGTTAAAAAGGGCTGGCGATGGAAGGAAGGCTTTGGGAGCAGGAAGGCAGAGAAGCACAGGGAGAGATGGGGCTGGAGGGAAGGAGAGGAAGATGGGGACTGATGTAGGTAAGTTAGTAAAGGTCTTCAGAACTAAGGGAGTTTGCACTTAGGAACTGACAGTGAAGGAAAGAGCTTTTATTGTCTGGATAACACATCAGCATATCATCCCTCTGCAGATCATTCTTTTTATCTTTTGTAATGTTTATAACATTTCCTCACATCTTTCTGCATTTTTTCCCATCCCCAAATTTAGAGGAATTAGTATGCCATACTTATCTCCCACAATCCTCCTCTCTTCTGAGCATCAATCAGCAGTTACTAATGTGAAGCTTCAACAATGGAAGAACAAAGAAGCATTAAAAACTGTTTGATGAAAATAATAGAAGCAGTGCTTAAGTGCTGCCCACATCGTTTCAAAAACGCTCTCACCCAACCTTCAGGTGGAAATTATACTCAAGGCTGCAATGGCTGGATCCCCAAGTTCACCACAGTCTGCACCTTAGAGCAATTTTTCCATAAAACAGTTCTTTTATTTTAGTAATAGAATATCTACTAAAAGGGTGAAAAACAATGCAAGCAAATGCAGTAAATGTTTGTTATTCGGAGAAGCAAGTTATTCCTTCGTGCCCTACCGTTGTTTGAGCTAAGTTCCAGAGGTTGATACTAATGGAATGGATTGCAGAACTACTTCTCAAACATGCTAAGTATTCAGGCTGTCAAATTAAAGGAGTCTCCAAGGCTGGTGCTTCTCTGGTCATCTCTAATTAGGCGATACTCTGCTGGAACCCTCACTATTAATCTTAAGAGTTGTTTTTCTCCTATAGTGAACGGAAGGGGAATTTTTAAAGTGTATGTAGTGGCTTCCTCTTTGTTGTAATTTTATTTAGAGGAGTATGTTACAAAGATTGAGATATAATAAATTGTTCTATTTTCCCCCGTTGAAGGAAAACTAAACAAATAAACATAAATTTGCAAGAAAATTAACAAAAGGGATGCTTATCTTTTATATTATTTTATCAGTATTTAACTTAAGATTATTTTTCAGTTGCATCCATGTCACAAAACACTCCAGGCATACCAGGGTATGTGCTACTCACTGAACGTTAAGTATATGTTTAGTAATGCTTTTCCACCTCTGGGATCTATTTGGGAAGGAAAAGTGTCATGTTATTTTTCTATACGTGGAATGACCCAGACTTATCTGCCTGTTAATACTTTATCCATCTGATGCCTCCTACAACATCCAGCCTTACCTGATAAGCTATTTTTTCTTTAATTTATCAGTTATTGACTATCATAAATCAATGGATAAAACAATGAAGAAATGAATTAACTGATCAATGTGGTCAGATTCTATGGGCTACATATCTTTGTAACCCCAGTGGAGCCTACCACAGTGTCTGGAACATTAGCAAGTCAAATAAATATTTACCAAATTATTAATTACGTGTGTATCGCACAGATTGGAATACATTTATATTTGCTTCAAGGAATTCTCCCTAAATTATAATCATAGCTTCTGAGGAGAAAAGCATATATTTCCCATCAACCTGATCCTTAAAATCTTCAGAAGCACTTTTTCTGTAAAGGTAAATAAACTTTCTTTTAAATGCGGTGGGAGAAGCTGGTGGATGATTTCTGAATGTCTGGTTGCTGTCCTCAAGGCTTAGCAATCACCTGAACCTGAGGGACTTTTATCTAACCTTAACTCTGCACCTGACTGCCAAGCAGAGCTAATCACTTAAGTTCCAGTGAATTAATGGGTTCATCTGTAAAACACGATTGCCATCAAAGGACTTCAGAGGAAAAGACTAATGATAGAATAACCGAAATGACAGTAGATTTAAAGATTCAACAGTGCTATCAAAATTCAGGGCAAAGCCATTTTCCATACTGTCCCTCAAGTGTAACTGTGCCGCTTTTATGAGGATCGAATTCAAGAAAAATAAGCTTATAAGAGCTCTGTCGTGCTGTTTTGTATCTGCTGGATTGATGCCAGATGTCAATCCTGTTGCTTTCAAAAATTTAACATGGAAAGCAACTGGAAAATTCATGATATTTTCATTAGATGCCCAAGGACTCTAGACTTCAATGGACAAAACACACCCCCTATGACTTTGCAAAGACGGCTAACTAGAAAAGCAATTCATACATTTCTTTTTATCACCTTTTTCCTCTTCTATTTCCTTTCATTTTTCTACTACATTTTGAATTTGACTTTTATGTTTCTGCATCTGAAGCAGTTGGAAGGTTTTTGCAGACTCCAGGGTGCCGTTTTCAGTGTCTGATGAGGTTATCCCTTCGATGTGTGTCAAAAAATCACTTCCAGGCTCCAGATAAAGAGCCAGGGTGCCCCAGAAGTGCCCTAAGCCCTCTGGGGGGCTTGATTGCCTGAGCTGCTTGTATCCTTCTAGCTGCAATGCATATGTTTCAGGGCAATGATAAATACTGGCTCAACGGAGAGCGATGTAAAGTATTCCTCAGAGAAATAAGATCTGCGTCTATTGGAAAACTGATTTTTTTTCCAGGCACTGTGACATCTGTTCAGGGTAACTAAGCATCGCTGCATAAGGGGATAGAGGACATTAACTGAACTGGTGTTGGGTCCACAATGAAATAGAAGAACATCAGAACCAAAGCACACTCTGTTCAGATAGTTCATAGTGTCCTTTTAATCACCCACTTGACTTTATAAATCGATTTAATATGTGGGAGGTTGGTATAGAGCAGACAGAACAACTGTAATTGCACGATACTGGGACCACTAATGAACATAAAAAGCCATTTCATGTTCAGTGTTTGAAAGAAATCATGTTGGACTTAAAGGAAATCAGGAATCCAAGAATTCAATTCAAAGAAAATAGAGCTGAAGACTGTATCAGAATCAAGTACCTCATACCTCTACATTCTAGCAATTAATGATTGATTCTTAAGAAAACCCATTTCTGCAAGAATGCCAAGTAATCTTTTTTAGAGCTCACTTTTAAATATTTCTTACCATGTTCTCATTCGTTAGCTCAACTGATTCTCTTAAGAATCCTATAATTTAAAAGTTATCATAACCTACATTTTAGAGTTTAAAAAGTTGAGAGAAATAAATTACATAATTTGATAAGCGTGGTAAAGGGGCCTCTAGAACTCCAGGCTCCCTCTCTCCATCCCTTCCTCCCTCCCTCCCTTCTTTCTTTTAATAAACATGTATATATAACTAGTAATTACCAAGCGCTTGCAATGCACTGGGCAGTGCGCTAGGCTCTCCAAGGCAAACA